CAGGCCAAGACTGTTGCCACTAGGGGTGGGCAACCGATTTGGTAAACCCGGACCGAAACTGAATTAGTGTTGTTCGGTTCGGAATTCGGAAGCCAAAACCCTTTATTTCGGGAACTAGGAGTATACAGACCGAAACCGAATTCTGATCAACCGAACCGATCAACCGAACAAAAATTTAACCCAATCCTACAACCCAACTAACTACTCAACCTCTCACAGCCCAATTCTCACCGAACCCAAAAATAAATACCTCACAGGTCACAACCCAAATAAAATAGAGACCAAACTAAATCCCTCAAGCCCACAACTCTTTCATACCTATTGCTAACCAAAACCTAACAAAGAAGAACACAAACCCAAACATCACCGCCGCCAACGACCATCAAGCATCACTGCCGTCCACCGAATCCTCCTATCATCTCTTGGCCTTGCCGCAAACTTGTCCTTTATGTGTTGGGTTTGCGAAATGAGAAATGTGCCTTTTTTATTTCGTAATTTTTTAATTAAGCTTTGAAATTAGCATAGTGTATCTATTTAATTATTATAAAAAAATTATCTTTCTTCCATTAAAAGAACCCTTATCTTTTTTAATTTTATTCCTATTCTCGGTTAAGACATCGTATTTGTAATTTTTATTAATCTATGTGCATTCTAAATGGTATCATACATGCACCTGTAATTAAATTATAAATACAACTGTATTTAAATTATTTATCATTTTCAAATTTTAATTATTATGCGATAGTATTTAGGATGTTATGTATTTAGAGATTGATGCATTACTCTCTGGTTGAGATGTAAAGGTTAAAAGGGTAGAGGTTAAAGTTTTGTTGTTCATTTTTTGTTTTGAATACTATAAGAACTTATGTATGTAATTGCTCTAAATGAACAAAGCTTATGCATATGACTTAAATATTATAAAATTATTAATTTTTTAATAGTCAAATTATGACTATTTTAGAACTAAAGAAAAAAGCAAACATGTTGTGTAGCCTCTAGATAATGTTCATAATACTTGGACATAAAATTGTGCATAATTTACTCACACACTGAATGACACACTGAATGAGTAAATCAACTATTGAGAATGTTTAAAATGAGCATTTCTACTGTGCTATATAGTATTGGTGCTTTAATGTACAACTTAAAGTTGTACCATAATATGAAATGTATAAGTTTAGATTGTATCATAAAAGAATTTGTACCATTATGTTATGGTACAACTTTACAACTTGAAGTTGTACCATTACATAAAGGTACAAGTTCAAGTTGTACCATAAAAGAATTTGTACAAACAGTATAGGTATAATCTAAAGTTGTACCACAACGTTAAATGTACAATTTCAAGTTGTACCATAAAGGCAAAAACCTATAGCACCAATACTATATAGCATTGTAAAATTCCTCTGTTTAAAATATCATGATCTAGAAAATCCTCATACATTATGATGGAAACTTAAAATGTTCCATTATATTACTTGACAAAAATGTAAACTTGTAATAATTTATCAAATAATATACCTAACAATATTCTTAGTTTAAAAATCCTAAAAGTATTCCGGCCTACTGGCCGGGTCCAAGCTAGTGTAGTTAGGATGGTGTTAACCCTTTAAACATTTAGCAACTAAACCCTTTGCCACCATCCATATTCACGAGTAAAGTGTTTTTGTTTTTCTTCTGGCTTGCGAAAATTTTCCTTTGCCGTTTCAACTTTATATAACTTACTTGGTTAGTATCTAAATGATATATGACACATAATAGAACCTCTCCCAACAACTCAAGTTATTGGGATCAACTGGTTCCTAACATGGTATCATAGTCTTCTGTGACCGAGAGGTCTTCGATTCAAATCCCGATGACCCTCATCTGTTCTACTAAGCTTCCACGTCTTTATTTGAGATGAAAAATATAAAAATAAAAAACATAAAAAATAAAAATAAGGAAACTAAAAATCTCTAAACCCATCCTCACCGTATGCTCCCAGAACCCATCACTCTTGCCCCGGGAAGAGATAGGGTGCTAACACTTTCATTAAGGATACTATAGTAAATTAGTAATGGCTAAATTACATGGTTGGTCACTGAAATTACATAAATATTTCATGTAGTCAGCTGGTTAGAATACCCAATGGTGATAGTATTCCCATGAAGGGTGTTGGTTCAGTAATTTATCTATAGGTTTATAGTTGGATCGGGTACTGCATGTTTCGGATTTTCGATGCAACTTATTGTCTATTAGTCGTTTAACCAAGGATAATGATGTGGATCTCATATTCATGCGAGATCTGTGTATACTTCAGGACTTACGCTCCAGGAGCGTGATTGGGAAGGGATTCTCTGTGAAGGTTTGTATTACTTGAAGTTGTTTGGTAACAGTGAGAACTTGACATTTTCGCCTCATGGTGGGCGATTCGTTTCGGAGGATACGTGCCACAATAGGCTCGGCCATCCATCATCGGGTAAGGTTTCCAAGCTTAGTCATTTTCTTCCTTTGTTCAAGGAAAAGTCATATGGTCCTTGTCATTCGGGTTCACTTGCCAAATTTGCGTGATTACCATTTAATTCTAGTCACATCAAAAACTTCGGATTGTTATCAGTTGGTGCATATGGCTTCTCTCAGCGGAGCACATTATTTCTTAACGATAGTTGATTTCAGTCGCAGTGTGTGGATTTACTTGATAAAGTTTAAGTCATAGGTTGCCATATATATTGTCATGTTTTGTGAGATGGAGCGAACTCAGTTTGATAAACAGTTGAAGTGGATTGAAGCCGATAAGGGTCCAGAATTTTTCACCAATGACTTGCGAGCATTTAATGCGCCTTGACCTAGGGATGGGCCAACGGTTTGGTAAACTCGAACCGAACCGAAACAAAATTAAACCGAATTACTATAATTACAATCTCCAAATGGTTAATTTTTATGTTTGTAGTTGTTTTTATACTTAAATCATGTTAGTGTTGTTATGACTTATGTGTTGAATGCTTGATTTTATCATTGATGATGCATATAAATGCATATTTATTGTTTACATTAGTAGTGAAAATAATTTAAAAGGGAAAAGATACAAGTAGCCTCACAAATTCGGTTTTGTGTGCAATTCCGAACAAAACCGAATTATAATTCGGTTTAGACCGACCGAACCAAATTATAATTCGTTTCAAATTCGGCTTGAGATTTATGGAATTCAGGTACTCTGTATGCATAATTTCGGTTTGGTCGAAACCAAACCGACCGAATGGCCACCCCTGCTTGACCTGGTCGAATTAAGCTAAATACACATGGATTTGGGTTCAAGTGCGACAAATGAAAATAAATATGCACCTGACCCAACCCGACGATTAAAAAAGTGGTAAAACTCGTACACGAGCCCAAACGACCCAAAATTCATCAACACCGGATTCAACTCGCTTTGATCGTCTTGATAGAGCGAGGCTAATAGTTTTTAAGAAAATCCACACCCGGCCTCAAAATTTGTAAACAATAGTTTCAACTCGCTTTGACTGGCTTGATAAACCAGAGTGAGTTGTTAACAAAATCTATACCCGACCCAATCTGTCAATTACAAAAGCAGCTAAAATTCATTCCCGACCCGAAATTCATCAACAACGCGTTTAACTCTCTTTGACCCGGGCGAATCAGGTTGACCCAACACGACAACTACAAAAGTGAGTAAAACTAGTCCACCATCCAAAACGAACTAAAATTCGGCAACATTGGATTCTACTCGATTTGACCGGCTTGATAAAGCGGGGTGAGTTTTTAACAAAATCCACACCCGACCCAATCCGTTAATCACAAAAGCTGGTAAAATTCATTCCCGACCCAAAATAGATTCAATTGTCACAAAAGGAAATAAATCAACAATGAACCCAAAATTCGCGAACATCGAGTTCAATTTGCTTTAACCGGGTCGAATTAGATCAAATACCCATTGATTTGAGCATGTAAAACTCGTTGTCGATCAAAAATTCTTCAACATCGGGTTCAACTCTCTTAATAATGAAAACAAAACAATGTTTAAAACGACAACAAAGACAATTAGGGCGAGTTTTAAATAAGATCACACTGACCAAACCCTCCAATTAGAAAAGCATGTAAAACTCGTCCTTGACCCAAAATTTGTTAACACCAAGTTCAACTGGCTCTAACCGGATCGAATAAGGTCGAGTATCCATTGATTTAAGTGTGTAAGCAAAGACTCGCCGACATTGGGACAAACTCGCTTTCACCGAGTCGACATTAAGTTAAATATCCATTGATTTCGGCCCAAATTTGGTTATCACCAAGTTCAACTCGCTCTACCTGGACGAATTAAGTCGAATATCAATTGATTTAAGCGTGTAAGCAAAAACTCGCCAACGCCGGGTCGAACTCGCTTTAACAGGGTCGACATTAAGTCAAATACCCATTAATTTCCATTGTTGAGCCAAAATTCGTCAAGACAGAGCCAAAACAGTCTCCTCTAGCTACAACACATGTCATGATTTGCATGACCTTATTTGAAGTCTGTTTAAGGGCTCGTTTGATTGTTGGATTTGAAAATGAAGGCGTTGAGTTTTGGAAACTTTTGGATTAAATTATAATGGATTGTGCATTTTGTATTCTAAAGAGAACATTGTTTGTCTAGTTGACTACTAATTCCACTTTGGGTGACAATTAATCATTATATATAATTTGCGTAGGCTAATTCCAATTTGGGTGACAATTAATAAATTATTATACCCAGCTATAGACCCATACGAGAATATGGTGTTTTGAGGCTACAAAGTACAAACAGATGAAGGAGACAAAGTACAAACAGATGAAGGAGACATGTGAAAAGTAGCCTACATAAAAAAAACATGCATGCATCTTCTCTTTCTCTTCGCCCACCCGGGACTTGTTCAAGCCATGCATCTTTAATTTATTAGATGTCAGTGTACCAATGACTCTATAAATGAATCCCCAGCAGATATCTTAACAGCCCATAACCAATTCTCCAAATCACATCTCCTGACAAAATGGCACTTATATATCTTCTCCTCCTCCCAATCTTCATCACCATCCTCGTCGTCATCACCGTTTCACGATTTCTCACCACCTCTGCAGCTTCTAAACACCGCTCACCGCCGCTGCCTCCAGGCCCTAAGCCATGGCCCATCATCGGAAACCTCCCTCACCTCGGCAAGCAAGCTCACATCTCCCTCCAACACTTCTCCCAGCTGTACGGCCCTCTCATCTCCCTCCGCCTCGGCTCCCAGCTCCTCGTCGTCGCCTCTTCCCCCGCGGCAGCCGCCGAAATCTTGAGAACCCATGACCGCCTGCTCTCCGCTAGATACGTCTCCACAGGCCTGCCATACGACATGATGGAGCTCGACCTCAAGGCGATCGTTTGGGCTTCCAACTGCAGCAACGACCAGTGGAAGGCCTTCCGAGCAATGTTCAGGAACCAGATCTTCTCGGCGAAGGCCATCCAATCTCAGGCCGCCGCCAGGGAGAGGAAAGCTGCCGAGATGGTGAGATTTCTCGAGGGGAAGTTGGGGGAGTCGGTTAGTATCGGCCAAGTGGTTTTCGCTGCTATATTTGACTCGCTGTCGAATCTCATGTTGTCGCGAGATTGCATAGGGTTCGAGAGTAGCGAGACAGCCAATCGATTGAAGTCACTGATTTGGAGGATGATGGAATTGAGGACTTCTCCTAATATCGCCGAATTCTTTCCAATTCTGAAGAAATGGGATCCCCAGGGGCTGAGACGTGAGACGTTTCGTTGTTGCAATGAGCTCTACTCCGTTTGGCAGCCCTACGTCGAAGAGAGGAGAGAGCGTCGGCGGGGAGAGCGATATGGTGCTCAGGACTTCTTGGATATTTTCCTGGAAAATGGACTCGATGACGACCAGATTGACTGGTTGAGTCTCGTAAGTTCACAAGGAAAAAGAAAGAAAAAAAATTTCAATCCTATTTTGTGGTTAGCGACAAAAACCCGTTAGTCCCAACAACTCACTACCCGAAAATCAACCCACGGTTAATATTGGGAGTCGTGCAGATTTGAACAAATGACATTTTGTTCAAACTAAGTTAACTCTGATATCATGTCAAGAACTAGTTAGTCCCAATAACTCGAGTTGTTGGGAAAATGTTATTTTGGATCTTATACCACTCTCTTACAAGTTTGAGTTTTAGCTTTTTCCTTTGATTTTCTTGCAGGAACTGTTCATGGCCGGTACTGACACTAACACGACTGCAATAGAATGGGCGATGACAGAGTTGATTCGAAACAAGGGAGCGATGAACAAGCTGCGGGAGGAGCTCAACGCAGAATTGTCGTCGCCGCTCGAAAGAAAACCGCCGATCGATGAATCTGTAGTGTCTCGACTTCCATACTTGAATGCAATCATGAAGGAGACACTGAGGCTACACCCGCCAGGGCCGCTCATGCTGCCACACCGCGCATCGGAGACTTGCGAGGTGATGAATTACACGGTCCCTAAAGGAGCTAAGATTCTGGTCAACGTGTGGGCGATTTCAAGGGATCCGACAGCGTGGGAGGATGATCCGACGTCGTTCAAGCTGGAGAGGTTCATTGGGTCCAAGGTGGATTTTAGAGGGCATGATTTCGAGCTGTTGCCATTCGGTGTTGGGAGGAGGATGTGTCCTGGAATGCCGTTGGCCACCAGACAGATTTCGTTGATTTTGGATTCTTTCGTTCGGAACTTCGATTGGTGCCTCCCCGGTGGAAAAGATCCAGCGGAGCTGGATATGAGTGAGAAGTTTGGGTTCACGTTGCAAAAGGAACAACCTCTGCTTCTTGTTCCCAACCGATGTTCATTATGAGATCTTCAATTAATATTGGTTTGGTTGCTACGAGTCATTCCATGTAGTTACCAAAAGAGAGTCCATATATGAAACTAATCACGAGGCAGGCTCGTGAGAATATGTTTGTATGTTATCAGCCAGATGAACGTCGGAATGCCCTTAACATGAAGTTTATTAAGTACGACATACTAATTGACTTTAATATATGAAACTAATCACGAGGCCGGGTCCCAATTATTGAAGCTGCGTGACAAGTCGGTAATATTATTATCAAATCAAATTTTGCTACTTTATAGTTCAATTCTTTCTTGTTAGAGGTTAGAGTGTTAACTGTTGGAAATAAATTAATTATTTCCTTATTAATCAAAACTATTGGTGGGCTTTTTATGGTGGGGAGCTCGTTTATGAGCAATGGGAGGCTTTGGATATATATATTTGAAACTTAGAGAATGAGATTGGTAGAGGGAATTTTAGAGATACTGGGGACTTGGAAGCTTTTATTGCTTATTGCTTCTTCTTTCTTTGTTTTTGGCTCTACACACTTATATGGCTGCTACTTCAGCCTATTTATAGGCCTTCCAACTCCAAAAGATCTACCACAACCAACTCTATATGTGGCTTACAATTTTTTCATTTGTTTAATAATAATGCAACTAACCCAATTTAATTCTAACCTAACCATTTCTCTAGATCATACCACCACAGCCACGTTGACAGAATTCTAGGCGGTTCTGATTTTTTTTTCAATTTTAGTTTAATTAAACTTTATTTAATTTTAACACTCCCCCTTAAAGTTTAATTCGTCGTAACTCCGAGTAGCGTCCTCATCTTGACGAACACATCTTGCTTTAGCGGCTTCGTGAAAATATCAGCAATCTGATCTTCTGTCTTCACATACTTCAATGTCACTTCTTTCTGCTCCACGCATTCTTTCAAGAAATGATATCTTGTATCAATATGCTTACTGCGATCATGAAACACCGGATTCTTTGCTAACGCCAGGGCAGACTTGTTATCAACATAAATCTCACTTGACTCTTCTTGTGTCATGTTCAACTCCTTCAGCAACTTTCTCAGCCATATCGCATGACACGCACACGATGTCGCAGCAACATACTCAGCTTCACAAGTTGACAGTGTCACGATAGCTTGCTTCTTTGAACTCCATGTGAAAGTTGTATCTCCCAGGAAAAATACAAATCCTGTAGTGCTCTTGCGATCATCTACGTCTCCTGCCCAATCACTGTCGCAGTATCCAACCAATTTGAAATTTTCCGACTTAGTATAAAGCAGACCATGATCGATTGTACCTTTGATGTAGCGTAATATCCTCTTTGCAGCATTCCAGTGTGACATAGTTGGTGCCTCCATGTATCTGCTGACTAATCCAACTGCGTAGAGAATATCTGGTCTGGTACAAGTAAGATATCTCAGGCTTCCGACAAGGCTTCTAAACTCCGTTGAGTTGACCTTCTCTCCTTTGTCATTCTTTGATAGTTTTAGTCCACACTCATCTGGTGTGCTCACAGGATTACAGTTCTCCATCTTAAACTTCTTCAGGACCTCCTTTGCGAAGCCACTCTGTGAGATAAAAATTCCTTCCTCCTTTTGAGTTACTTCAATACCGAGATAATATGACATCAGTCCGATGTCTGTCATCTCAAACTCACGAACCATCGTCTCCTTGAACTCTTCAAACATTTTAGGATCGTTGCCTGTGAAGACGAGATCATCTACGTACAGACAAACTATCAGGATTGCTCCCCCTTGCACCTTGCAGTATAGTGCATGCTCGTGTGGGCATTTACTGAACCCGTTTTGCTGAAAATACTTGTCAATCCTGCTATTCCGAGCTCTCGGTGCTTGTTTCAGACCATACAATGCCTTCTTCAGCTTTAACACCTTATCTTCTTGACCTTCAACGACATATCCAGGGGGTTGCTCAATATAGATATCTTCCTCGAGATATCCATTCAGAAAAGCTGACTTAACATCCATCTGATGTATCTTCCATCCATTTTGAGCAGCGAGAGATATCACCATCCTGATACTCTCCATTCTCGCCACAGGAGCAAAAACTTCATTATAGTCAATGCCTGGTCTCTGGATATACCCTTTCCCCACCAATCTTGCTTTGTGCCTGACAACTTCTCCTTTTTCATTCTTCTTTGTTTTAAATACCCACTTCACACCAATGGGCTTCTGGTTCTCAGGTAGTGATACAAGCTCCCAAGTCTTGTTCTTCTCAATTGCTCCGATTTCTTCATCCATGGCTCTTCTCCATTTTTCATCCTTCATGGCTTCTTCAACATCAACTGGTTCACTATCAATGAAATGACAGTAGAGTGTCAATTCATCACCTTCAATGGTTGTCGTTTCTTCATAAATTTCTTCAAGTCTCCTATACTTCTGTGGCCTTTCTCGGGGACTCTCACTAGATTCTCCTTCTGGGCTGACAGGCTCTCTGTGACTGGGTGGACTTGTCACAGGTGTAGCTGTATCAGGTTCATCATCACTTTCATCCATAGTGAATGGATAAAAAGTGTAATTCTTCTTTGCTTCAGCAGTCCAATCCCATGTTGCTTCTTCATCAACTACCACGTCTCTGCTGATGATCAGCTTCTCTTCCACGGGATCAAACATTTTGTAACCTTTTGAGTGTTCTGAGTATCCCAGGAATATGTACTTCTTGCTTTTGTCATCCAACTTCTTCCTTTCTTGATCCGGTACATGCACATATCCAACACTTCCGAAGACTCGGAGGTGAGATATTTTGGGTTTCCTTCCGCTCCATGCTTCTTGGGGTGTTTGATTTCAAACACTCTTTGTTGGTGACCTATTCAGCAGGTAGACTGCACAATCAACAGCTTCAGCCCATAGCTCCTTTGGTAGGTTCTTGCTCTTCATCATGCTTCTTGCCATGTTGAGGACAGTTCTGTTCTTCCTCTCAACGACTCCATTTTGCTGTGGGGATCTTGGGACTGTAAGAAACCTGCGAATTCCTTGATATTCACAGAATCTTCTGAACTTCTTGAGCATAAATTCTCCCCCTCTATCTGATCTCATAGCTTTGATGTAGCGGCCACTTTCATTCTCCACGAGCATCTTGAACTTCTTGAATGCTTCAAATGTGTCTGACTTTTTCTTTAAGAAGTACACCCATGTCTTTCTACTGTAATCATCAATGAACAATAGGAAGTATTTGTTCTTGCCAAATGATGTTGGAGTGATCGGACCACAGAGATCTCCATGGACAAGCTCAAGTGGTGCTTTAGCTCGTGACAGGGACTCCTTCGGGAAACTTGCCCTGAATTGCTTCCCAACTAAGCATCCTTCACACAATTGGTCTGGATGATTGATCACTGGCAGACCATGCACCATATTCTTCTGACCGAGCAACTTCAGACCTCCAAAATTTAGATGGCCATACCTCAGATGCTATAGCCATGTAGTGTCTTTCACACATGCTTTCAAACACTTCGCCATTTCTGTCTGAATGTTCAGTGTGAACATTCTGTTTTTCGACATTGGGACTCTGGCCAACAACTGCCTCTTCTCATTTAGCAGCTCCAATTGACGATTCACCATGTGGACTTCATAATTCTTCTCCATCAATTGACCCAAACTCAGGATGTTACTAGTCATGTCTGGGACATAGTACACATCACTGATAAATTGTTGTGAGCCATTCTTTAGTCGGATGAGTATAGTCCCTCTGCCTTTGATAGGAACCTTCGAGGAATCTCCAAATACGACATTTCCTTTCACTGATTCATCCATATCCACGAACATGTTTCTTTTTCCATACATGTGGCTGCTTGCTGCATTATCCAGATACCACATGTTATCTCTCGGTTTTTCATCTCCTTGATGTGACAGCATCAATGTGCCTTTGACTTCTTCTTGCACGTTGTTTGCTGTCTCCTCCACTTCTTTAGGCGGACTCCAACATTCTGATGCATAATGCCCGTACTTCGAGCAATTATGGCACTGGACGTTGGATTTATCACGACCTTCATTTGATCTCCAACTTCCTCTTCCACGTCCACGACCACGACCTCTGCCTCTGGTGAACGTTTCATAATTGTTCGTGGTGAAATTTCCTCCATCTCTGCTTTGATATGCTCCTCGAGCTCTTCCTCTGCCTCTGCCTCTATAGTTGCCTCTGCCTCGACCTCTGTACTGACCTCCTCCTCGGGCACCTTCTTTGTCCTCAGTGGTAGCTTTTGTAGCTAGCACTTGCTCTGACGATTCTTCATTTCTTTTATTTAGCCTTTCTTCACGTGCTTGCAATGAGCCGATGACTTCATCCACTGTCATTTTTGACACGTCCTTAGCTTCCTCCATGGCTACCACCACATAATCAAACTTTGGTAATAGTGACCGTAGAATTTTCTCCACCACTTTGGTCTCTTCAATTTTCTCCCCATACTGCTTCAGTTTGCTGGCGATAGACATCACACGGGCGGTGTAATCTGAAACAGATTCACCTTCCTTCATTTTAATGGCTTCAAAATCTCCTCTTAGTGTCTGAAGTCGAACCTTCTTTACTGGTTCTACGCCTTGCATTTCCTTTTGCAAGATATCCCATGCTTCCTTCGCCGTGGTAGCATCTGCTATTTGATCGAACGTCGATTCATCAAGACATTGATGAATTAGAGTGAGTGCCTTTTGATCACTCTTTCTATTTTTCCTCAATACCTCCTTTTCAGCAGGAGATAACCGAGAATCCTCTACGGGAATCTCGTAGCCTTTTTCGACAATATCCCAAGCATCTTGGGATCCAAGCAAGGCTTTCATACGAATGCACCAATTTTTATAATTGGTTTTGGTAAGGTGGGGGAATTGAATGGGGAAAGTGGATTTTTCGGCCATGGGAAAATCGTGATAACAATAGCACGACAAATTCTTTTCTGATGTGGAAGATCAGACTACGCTGCAACCACAGAGCATACTTAAGAATAACTCGGGCTCTGATACCACTTTGTTGGAAATAAATTAATTATTTCCTTATTAATCAAAACTAATGGTGGGCTTTTTATGGTGGGGAGCTCGTTTATGAGCAATGGGAGGCTTTGGATATATATATTTGAAACTTGGAGAATGAGATTGGTAGAGGGAATTTTAGAGATAATGGGGACTTGGAAGCTTTTATTGCTTATTGCTTCTTCTTTCTTTGTTTTTGGCTCTACACACTTACATGGCTCCTACTTCAGCCTATTTATATGCCTTCCAACTCCAAAAGATCTACCACAACCAACTCTATATGTGGCTTACAATTTTTTCATTTGTTTAATAATAATGCAACTAACCCAATTTAATTCTAACCTAACCATTTCTCTAGATCATACCACCACAGCCACGTTGACAGAATTCTAGGGGGTTCTGATTTTTTTTTTTCAGTTTTAGTTTAATTAAACTTTATTTAATTTTAACATTAACTTCAACTCTAATCAGCTTCCATTTTTTATGTTCAATCGGATCGTGGCTGGTAATGAAGTACATATTTGAAATTTCACAAAATTAAAATTAATAAATCTACTAAAATATAAAATATATTCTCTCTCTTTGCCATTTTGTACGAGAAAAAACACTACTAATTTCGCTACTACTTATGATTTTTAGTTGCCAGTGACCGACAATTTGGGAGGTTGACTGTAGTACTTTTTTAGAGTGTACGAGTAGTGATTCTCATGTAATTATTAATGTCTTGACAATTTTGTATTTGTAGCAATTGACAATTTTTAACTAGAATCACTATCACAAATTACCAAAAATTCTACCAACCAAAAAAACTACTAACATAACTATGCAAAACACTATCATCATAAAATCTTTACAGGCCAAGACTGTTGCCACTAGGGGTGGGCAACCGATTTGGTAAACCCGGACCGAAACTGAATTAGTGTTGTTCGGTTCGGAATTCGGAAGCCAAAACCCTTTATTTCGGGAACTAGGAGTATACAGACCGAAACCGAATTCCGATCAACCGAACCGATCAACCGAACAAAAATTTAACCCAATCCTACAACCCAACTAACTACTCAACCTCTCACAGCCCAATTCTCACCGAACCCAAAAATAAATACCTCACAGGACACAACCCCAAAAAAATAGAGACCAAACTAAACCCCTCAAGCCCACAACTCTTTCATACCTATTGCTAACCAAAACCTAACAAAGAAGAACACAAACCCAAACATCACCGCCGCCAACGACCATCAAGCATCACTGCCGTCCACCGAATCCTCCTATCATCTCTTGGCCTTGCCGCAAACTTTTCCTCTACGTGTTGGGTTTGCGAAATGAGAAATGTGCCTTTTTTATTTCGTAATTTTTTAATTAAGTTTTGAAATTAGCATAGTGTATCTATTTAATTATTATAAAAAAATTATCTTTCTTCCATTAAAAGAACCCTTATCTTTTTTAATTTTATTCCTATTCTCGGTTAAGACATCGTATTTGTAATTTTTATTAATCTATGTGCATTCTAAATGGTATCATACATACACCTGTATTTAAATTATAAATACAACTGTATTTAAATTATATATCATTTTCAAATTTTAATTATTATGCGATAGTATTTAGGATGTTATGTATTTAGAGATTGATGCATTACTCTCTGGTTGAGATGTAAAGGTTAAAAGGATAGAGGTTAAAGTTTTGTTGTTCATTTTTTGTTTTGAATACTATAAGAACTTATGTATGTAATTGCTCTAAATGAACAAAGCTTATGCATATGACTTAAATATTATAAAATTATTAATTTTTTAATATTCAAATTATGACTATTTTAGAACTAAAGAAAAAAGCAAACATGTTATGTAGCCTCTAGATAATGTTCATAATACTTGGACATAAAATTGTGCATAATTTACTCACACACTGAATGACACACTGAATGAGTAAATCAACTATTGAGAATGTTTAAAATGAGCATTTCTACTGTGCTATATAGTATTGGTGTTTTAATGTACAACTTAAAGTTGTACCATAATATGAAATGTATAAGTTTAGATTGTATCATAAAAGAATTTGTACCATTATGTTATGGTACAACTTTACAACTTGAAGTTGTACCATTACATAAAGGTACAAGTTCAAGTTGTACCATAAAAGAATTTGTACAAACAGTATAGGTATAATCTAAAGTTGTACCACAACGTTAAATGTACAATTTCAAGTTGTACCATAAAGGCAAAAACCTATAGCACCAATACTATATAGCATTGTAAAATTCCTCTGTTTAAAATATCACGATCTAGAAAATCCTCATACATTATGATGGAAACTTAAAATGTTCATTACTTGACAAAAATGTAAACTTGTAATAATTTATCAAATAATATACCTAACAATATTCTTATTTTAAAAATCCTAAAAGTATTCCAGCCTACTGGCCGGGTCCAAGCTAGTGTAGTTAGGATGGTGTTAACCCTTTAAACATTTAGCAACTAAACCCTTTGCCACCATCCATATTCACGAGTAAAGTGTTTTTGTTTTTCTTCTGGCTTGCGAAAATTTTCCTTTGCCGTTTCAACTTTATATAACTTACTTGGTTAGTATCTAAATGATATATGACACATAATAGAACCTCTCCCAACAACTCAAGTTATTGGGATCAACTGGTTCCTGACATGGTATCATAGTCTTCTGTGACCGAGAGGTCTTCGATTCAAATCCCGATGACCCTCATCTGTTCTACTAAGCTTCCACGTCTTTATTTGAGATGAAAAATATAAAAATAAAAAACATAAAAAATAAAAATAAGGAAACTAAAAATCTCTAAACCCATCCTCACCGTATGCTCCCAGAACCCATCACTCTTGCCCCGGGAAGAGATAGGGTGCTAACACTTTCATTAAGGATACTATAGTAAATTAGTAATGGCTAAATTACATGGTTGGTCACTCAAATTACATAAATATTTCATGTAGTCAGCTGGTTAGAATACCCAATGGTGATAGTATTCCCATGAAGGGTGTTGGTTCATTAATTTATCTATAGGTTTATAGTTGGATCGGGTACTGCATGTTTCGGATTTTCGATGCAAGTTATTGTCTATTAGTCGTTTAACCAAGGATAATGATGTGGATCTCATATTCATGCGAGATCTGTGTATACTTCAGGACTTACGCTCCAGGAGCGTGATTGGGAAGGGATTCTCTGTGAAGGTTTGTATTACTTGAAGTTGTTTGGTAACAGTGAGAACTTGACATTTTCGCCTCATGGTGGGCGATTCGTTTCGGAGGATACGTGCCACAATAGGCTCGGCCATCCATCATCGGGTAAGGTCTCGCAGCTTAGTCATTTTCTTCCTTTGTTCAAGGAAAAGTCATATGGTCCTTGTCATTCGGGTTCACTTGCCAAATTAGCGTGATTACCATTTAATTCTAGTCACATCAAAAACTTCGGATTGTTATCAGTTGGTGCATATGGCTTCTCTCAGCGGAGCACATTATTTCTTAACGATAGTTGATTTCAGTCGCAGTGTGTGGATTTACTTGATAAAGTTTAAGTCATAGGTTGCCATATATATTGTCATGTTTTGTGAGATGGAGCGAACTCAGTTTGATAAACAGTTGAAGTGGATTGAAGCCGATAAGGGTCCAAAATTTTTCACCAATGACTTGCGAGCATTTAATGCGCCTTGACCTAGGGATGGGCCAACGGTTTGGTAAACTCGAACCGAACCGCAACAAAATTAAACCGAATTACTATAATTACAATCTCCAAATGGTTAATTTTTATGTTTGTAGTTGTTTTGATACTTAAATCATGTTAGTGTTGTTATGACTTATGTGTTGAATGCTTGATTTTATCATTGATGATGCATATAAATGAATATTTATTGTTTACATTAGTAGTGAAAATAATTTAAAAGGGAAAAGATACAAGTAGCCTCACAAATTCGGTTTTGTGTGCAATTCCGAACAAAACCGAATTATAATTCGGTTTAGACCGACCGAACCAAATTATAATTCGTTTCAAATTCGGCTTGAGATTTATGGAATTCAGGTACTCTGTATGCATAATTTCGGTTTGGTCGAAACCAAACCGACCAAATGGCCACCCCTGCTTGACCTGGTCGAATTAAGCTAAATACACATGGATTTGGGTTCAAGTGCGACAAATGAAAATAAATATGCACCTGACCCAACCCGACGATTAAAAAAGTGGTAAAACTCGTACACGAGCCCAAACGACCCAAAATTCATCAACACCGGATTCAACTCGCTTTGATCGTCTTGATAGAGCGAGGCTAATAGTTTTTAAGAAAATCCACGCCCGGCCTCAAAATTTGTAAACAATAGTTTCAACTCGCTTTGACTGGCTTGATAAACCAGAGTGAGTTGTTAACAAAATCTATACCCGACCCAATCTGTCAATTACAAAAGCAGCTAAAATTCATTCCCGACCCGAAATTCGTCAACAACGCGTTTAACTCTCTTTAACCCGGGCGAATCAGGTTGACCCAACACGACAACTACAAAAGTGAGTAAAACTAGTCCACCATCCAAAACGAACTAAAATTCGGCAACATTGGATTCTACTCGATTTGACTGGCTTGATAAAGCGGGGCGAGTTTTTAACAAAATCCACACCCGACCCAATCCGTTAATCACAAAAGCTGGTAAAATTTATTCTCGACCCAAAATAGATTCAATTGTCACAAAAGGAAATAAATCAACAATGAACCCAAAATTCGCGAACATCGAGTTCAATTTGCTTTAACCGGGTCGAATTAGATCAAATACCCATTGATTTGAGCATGTAAAACTCGTTGTCGATCAAAAATTCGTCAACATCGGGTTCAACTCTCTTAATAATGAAAACAAAACAATGTTTAAAACGACAACAAAGACAATTAGGGCGAGTTTTAAATAAGATCACACTGACCAAACCCTCCAATTAGAAAAGCATGTAAAACTCGTCCTTGACCCAAAATTTGTTAACACCAAGTTCAACTGGCTCTAACCGGATCGAATAAGGTCAAGTATCCATTGATTTAAGTGTGTAAGCAAAAACTCGCTAACATTAGGACAAACTCGCTTTCACCGAGTCAACATTAAGTTAAATATCCATTGATTTCGGCCCAAATTTGGTTATCACCAAGTTCAACTCGCTCTACCTGGACGAATTAAGTCGAATATCTATTGATTTAAGCGTGTAACCAAAAACTCACCAACGCCGGGTCGAACTCGCTTTAACAGGGTCGACATTAAGTCAAATACCCATTAATTTCCATTGTTGAGCCAAAATTCGTCAAGACAGAGCCAAAACAGTCTCCTCTAGCTACAACACATGTCATGATTTGCATGACCTTATTTGAAGTCTGTTTAAGGGCTCGTTTGATTGTTGGATTTGAAAATGAAGGCATTGAGTTTTGGAAACTTTTGGATTAAATTATAATGGATTGTGCATTTTGTATTCTAAAGAGAACATTGTTTGTCTAGTTGACTACTAATTCCACTTTGGGTGACAATTAATCATTATATATAATTTGCGTAGGCTAATTCCAATTTGGGTGACAATTAATAAATTATTATACCCAGCTATAGACCCATACGAGAATATGGTGTTTTGAGGCTACAAAGTACAAACAGATGAAGGAGACATGTGAAAAGTAGCCTACATAATAAAAACATGCATGCATCTTCTCTTTCTCTTCGCCCACCCGGGACTTGTTCAAGCCATGCATCTTTAATTTATTAGATGTCAGTGTACCAATGACTCTATAAATGAATCCCCAGCAGATATCTTAACAGCCCATAACCAATTCTCCAAATCACATCTCCTGACAAAATGGCACTTATATATCTTCTCCTCCTCCCAATCTTCATCACCATCCTCGTCGTCATCACCGTTTCACGATTTCTCACCACCTCTGCAGCTTCCAAACACCGCTCACCGCCGCTGCCTCCAGGCCCTAAGCCATGGCCCATCATCGGAAACCTCCCTCACCTCGGCAAGCAAGCTCACATCTCCCTCCAACACTTCTCCCAGCTGTACGGCCCTCTCATCTCCCTCCGCCTCGTCTCCCAGCTCCTCGTCGTCGCCTCTTCCCCCGCGGCAGCCGCCGAAATCTTGAGAACCCATGACCGCCTGCTCTCCGCTAGATACGTCTCCACAGGCCTGCCATACGACATGATGGAGCTCGACCTCAAGGCGATCGTTTGATTTTCTTGTACCACTCTCTTACAAGTTTGCGTTTTAGCTTTTTCCTTTGATTTTCTTGCAGGAACTGTTCATGGCCGGTACTGACACTAACACGACTGCAATAGAATGGGCGATGACAGAGTTGATTCGAAACAAGGGAGCGATGAACAAGCTGCGGGAGGAGCTCAACGCAGAATTGTCGTCGCCGCTCGAAAGAAAACCGCCGATCGATGAATCTGTAGTGTCTTAACTTCCATACTTGAATGCAATCGTGAAGGAGACACTGAGGCTACACCCGCCAGGGCCGCTCATGCTGCCGCACCGCGCATCGGAGACTTGCGAGGTATGAATTACACGGTCCCTGAAGGAGCTAGGATTCTGGTCAACGTGTGGGCGATTTCAAGGGATCCGACAGTGTGGGAGGATGATCCGACGTCGTTCAAGCCGGAGAGGTTCATTGGGTCCAAGGTGGATTTTAGAGGGCATGATTTCGAGCTGTTGCCATTCGGTGCTGGGAGGAGGATGTGTCCTGGAATGCCGTCGGCTACCAGACATATTTCGTTGATTTTGGCTTCTTTCGTTCGGAACTTCGATTGGTGCCTCCCCGGTGGAAAAGATCCAGCAGAGCTGAATATGAGTGAGAAGTTTGGGTTCACGTTGCAAAAGGAACAACCTCTGCTTCTTGTTCCCAACCGGTGTTCATTATGAGATCTTCAATTAATATTGCTTTGGTTGCTACGAGTCATTCCATGTAGTTACCAAAAGAGAGTCCATATATGAAACTAATCACGAGGCAGGCTCGTGAGAATATGTGTGTATGTTATCAGCCAGATGAATGTCGGAATGCCCTTAACATGAAGTTTATTAAGTACGACATACTAATCGACTTTAATATATGCATTCATGAAAAGTTGAATTTTCGACATTATGAAAAGCTTTTTAATTATCATATTACATCTCGATTTATTGAAAGTTGAAACTAAAATAATTTACTGGTGATAAAGTGGGAGAAGTAATGTAACAGTTTGTCCAATCAGAATTAGACAATTCGTTGCATATAAACGGTCCTATCCTTGGATAAACAAAATGACAAATCAAGCTAACTTCGTCGTGTACTTAGGCTGGTGTTGGTTGTAACAGTACTGTGTACCTCTATAAACGATTAAACGAAGCAAAGTACGATAGCATTGTTTGCTACTGTAAATCAGGCCGGCTCCTAATTATTGAAGCTGGACGACAAGTGAGGTCGGGTAATACTATTATCAGGTCAAATTTTGCTACTTACTCCACTAGAATTGAACCCGACCCGTTGGCCGGATACATTTTATCAATGATATAAACAACAATAGTGTTTTTTTATATCATAAGAGAATCCAAGTATTAGATTATTGGAAGCAAATAAAAATATGAATCATAAATTGAAAGTTTTTACGACATCAGGTCATCTGCATTTGCTGGGGGGAGGGGGGGGGGATTTATCTACTTCTCTGGCCTTGGCCATGTCCCAATTCAAGTCTGGAAGTTCAAATACAGTTAGGGGAGGTTGTTATGAGTGTCTTTGGTTAGTGAAATTAGGAGGGAGCATTGTAGGAGGCTTTATGCTTGTGTAAGCCTTTCTGAAGAGCAATTTCTGAAGAGATTGCAGGAAATGATCCTGCTACTCATGCAATGTTATCCTAAAGTTTCTTCTATAATCTCTGGAAACGATATAAGTGGGTATTTTATAGATGGGTTTCTTAGTTTGCTTCTTGTAGTCGTTATAGTGTTTCTTTCTAGTTCGGATGTTCCCCGTAAAGGTTGTGTCTGTCAAGAACCAGTTACTCCCAATAACTCGAGTTGTTGGGAAAGGTTCAATCGAAGATCATATAACACAACACTAACACGTCCCCTCAAACGAAAGCCACTCACAAGGGCTTGAAGTTTGCACAGGTATGAAGACAAGAATACCATGTTCTTAACAAATGGGAGTCACCGGGAATCGAACACAAGACCTCTCGGTCACAGAAGGCTCTGATACCATGTCAAGAACCAGTTGCTCCCAATAACTCGAGTTGTTTGGAGAAGGTTCTGCTGGATCTTATACCACACTCTTACACGCCACCTCAAATGAAAGCCAACCCATGAGCTTGAAGTTTGCACATGCCCACCATACCTTGTGCTTTAATCAAAGGTTAATATTGAGGGTCGTGGAGATTCGAACACACAACCACTTGGCCAAACCAGACTTTGATACCATGTCAAGAACCAGTTACTCCCAATAACTCGAGTTGTTGGGAAAGGTTCAATCGTAGATCATATACCACAACACTAACAGTGTCTTATGGTAGATCAAGTCTATTTGCATTTGTCAATCAGGTTTGGGATGTTGTAAAATCTGGTTTTCCATGATTCTCATCATCCTTTCTTGATGAATGAAAGTATTGTTCATAAAAAAAATTACGACATCCTAGTTGATTCATCAACTAACATCATTATCAAAGTTAAAATAAATCATGCATGTGAATCAACTCCTAAAAAACGGGTTCAAATCACATTTAGATTAGAAATTACTGCATAATTTATTTCGACTTCGCGATTACTTCGTCATAATTAGCATTATCTTCCTTACCTATAACAACGCCTTCATCTTTATTGATAGCAACTCTATTTCCACAATCAATATTATACTATTGTTCTCATGCATTTAAACATTCTCCTCCTTCTTCGATTAAATTTCATTGAAAGCTAAATTTAATGGTAATATTTATACAAAAACAAAAATTATTTTTACGCAAATAGATATTTCCCATTTCAAGTAATGAATATTATCTGAGATTTGCTCTTCCCGCCAATTTTTTATACTTCTATCTCCACAATCAGTCGGTCACATTCCTTCTCAAGTCGTTCATTTCAAGGAAACATTCATGTAAAAATATAAATTTGTGGCCCTGTATTTTTTATAGTAAATGAAAGTTTAACAGAATATCAAATAGTCGACCTTGTGTTTGTTTCGATCGACCAACCTAGGGTGAAGGTTAACCTATTTGATCCAGACGTCACCTTTTTTTCCACTAATAGAAGAGATCTATTTTTTATGAAGGGTAACACTAATTATTATCTAAGCCTTTCTCGCATAAACCAAACCTATTAAATTACTAATAATTAGCCAAATCTTTTATAATGCATCAAAATATTAGCCATTTTTACTTTATCGTTAATAATTTGTAACTCTTTTCTTATTTAAAATACTAAAGTTTTGGAATATTGACCTCCGTGTTTCTCATTCAAGTTAGTATTACGTTGCCAAGTCAATTAGACCAATAAAATTGCTAACTGAAAGTTAACATTTGACTAATTATTAGTAATTCAATAGATTTGATTAATAAAAAAGAATGTAGGAAATGTTTGTCTAATAATTAATGCTTACCCTTTTATAAAAATAGAGTAGATATATTTAATAGACTAATGACAAAATAAAATGCTGGAGCCCTAAACTAAAAATAGAAACATGATTATCTGATAAAAGCCAAACCCAATAATAAAATTGCTTCGCCCTCGGTGGAATAGAAAAGAAGAGGTGTAAAAGCAAAATAAAAATGTAAAAAGACCCATGTATCCTGCCGTGAGTTGCGCTTAAGGCTACAAATTGTGTTTTAACCCCCTTCTCGTGTGGAATCTCCTTAAATGAGTTTGTAGATAGATAGATAGATTGTAGATAGTTCACCTCCTTGGCCCCTTCTCGTCCCCATCCATATTCATGAGTGAAGTGTGTTTATTTTTCTTCTCGCTTGCGAAAATTTGCCTTTGCCGTATCAACTTTATATAACTTACAGATCAGTACTAGGTTAGTATCTAAATGGGATATGATCCATTGCTAAAACTCAAGAAACGAAAGGAAAAGACTCGACGATTTACTTGGTATCCTCGTTCATAAGAACGAGACTAATTCATGGAAAACCCGCTCAAGGATTCTTCGGCTAGAATATTATTAGGGTTCTTGGGAATTTCCACATACACTCACTGCCAACACGGCTTACACCAAACATATATATATACTAGTCAGTGATGTCGCGTCTTGTCGTGGGCGGAGATGGCCTATTTGCATGTATTATGTGGCCCGTTATGATCTTTTATTAGTATTATTAGGCTAACATTAATTTTTTGTTAGCAGTTTTGTTAGTAATATTGATTTGACAATATGATATTCACTAAGAATACATATATGGCGGTCAACATCTAATTTAAAGATTTTTGAAAATTTTGACTAGTAAATGATATTTACCAAAACCCAAGTAGACCCATTGATTATTATATGTAGGGTATGTGTGACGTATATATGAGTTTGAAAGTTTGTATATGGGTTTAGGTAGGGTATGGATATTTACTTGCATAATCTAATTTTGTATGAGTTAGGTATGGATACCCATTTATTCGAGGGTGTTTTAATTACACATACAAAAATTAGACCTCGGAACTTCAAAAGTTTAGGTACCAATATGTAATACACAAAAATAAATTTAGGTTATACATCTAAAGATATATTAAGTTTAGGTACAAAACTGTAATTTGCATAGTTGAGGCTTACTTCCTTTTATGGCGATGTATTTAAGATCATAATTATTTACTTTTTAGGAATAAAAATGGAAAATATTAATTTGATATTAAGCCAAACATTCCATGTATAATTGTTGCAAATTCTAGCCCGGGTGAAACATAAAAACTCTAGAGAGAAGCAAAAGGAATACAAACTGCAACTCGCTTAAAGTTTACGCCCTCAAATCCCTAAGTGGAAAATGACGTTTTTCTAATAAGTAATAACCATATATATTTATTTTTAATTGGACTCGACATTGAGCTGAAAAAGTTAGTGGTTCAGGGTTCAATTGTTAGTTCTCTAGCCTGTTGGTGAGTCGTGTATGGACCCGTTAATACTTGTGATTAGAATACATAAAAATAGTATACTAATTAGGGTTAGACAAAGAAGGCAAAGAAAGAAATAAAGAATCGTTATGGTCTATGGAAGGTTAGTGAAAAATGAAACG